GTTAGAGTTCACTCATATAATAATTGTGGCATTGAGTAACCACGTCACGGTGGAATCGTCAGGCCTCGAGGTAGTTTCTGACCAACCTAGCCAGTGATTAAGTCGTGCATATTTGAGCATCGTTACCAGGCTTTCTGTGAATTGGTGAATTTTCTTGTTTATTTGCATTCAACTGAAATTTTGAAGGTGGTTCCGCTGTTCTGCCCCTCCCCCTCTCGTTGATACATCGCTAGATGAAGATAACAACATCATTTACGACTTCTCGACAACGCAGCGACAAGATTAACGTCACTATTCGCAGTTCACCAAAGAAATTGAAACTGTATGTTCGATTTCGTTCCGCACCTTAGCCAGTCAGCTAGTTGAACAAAGTTTCGACAAAATACTTTTATTCATAATACAAATTAGTAAATTCAGTGATTCAAACAAGTGCCTTAGTCATATAAGGACCTTCTAGTTCATAACCGAGTTTTCGATAGTACTGACGTGTACCAACTGCCGATATGACGGCGATTTTTTTCGACCCATGCTCTTCTCGAGCAATGCGCTCCGCCTCTTCCATCAATAAAATTCCGAAGCCGTGATGCTGAAATTTTTTTGGGTCCCTTTTGCTGACCGGAACAACCGATCCATAAACGTGCAATTCTCGCACGATGGAAACTGCACCGATCAATTCCGGACGAAACGTCGTTACAGAACACTTGCGCAAGCGTAGCAAACCAACGAGAATGTCAAGCTCGGGATCTTCGTAGGAAAGAAATGTCTCCCAGCCACCGTTAGCCACATAATCTCTGCGTATCAGCTCAATCTTGTACGGACGAACTTTCTCGTGTATCTCCTGAATCCCGACTTCCCTGGTGCGAACGTCTCGGCATTTCGTGCCGAAGTCTTTCATGCGTGCAAGTGCTAATTCCCTTATATTCCCGTGTTCAACACCTGACGAAACGAGCGGCATCGGTATGTCTCGCTGTACTCTATATACCCTGGTCCAAGGGGGCACAAGGGCCAGAATACGTGCGATAAGGTCAACAAGTACATGCGCCGGATATGATTTGTAGCGCCCAGTTTTCCACAACTCGTACAGCCCAGTTCCGCGGATAACAAGCGTAGGATATATCTTCAAGCCATCAGCCCTAAAGTCAGGATTTTCGAAGAACTCGATAAACTGTTCAATGTCTCGTTCCAAACCAACATTAGGCAAGTCCGGCATCATGTGAGCAATGACCTAAAATTCGACATTAGAAACTTTGCAACGATCGCTTTAAAGTTAGTTTAAATCAGACCGAATGCAACGTGTCAAAAACAAGCACGAACTTTTTTAATTTCGAAATACATACATTCGCCCATAAAAAGCTTAACTATGAACCAAAAAAGGCTTAGAAACAGTGAAGCAAGACCCAAAAAAGTTAACTGGGCAGGTAGCATAAGACATTGTTTCCGACAGTCATGCGGTAGTGTCATAAATGCCAATACCGTGGTATGCAAAGATCATCGATTCGAAGCTGCATTTTAGTAAAAGCTATATATTTGAGGGAACACCGGAATGTAACTGATTCTCTGAACCGAAACACCATAAGCCAAAAACTCAGAATTTCTTGGCATCTGTAATGAGGTGGTGAACAGCAATATACCTTGAAGCGAGAGACTAGATCGGTTACAATCAAATTGGAGAATCACTCACCCGGAAATATCACTATTCTGAAGGCCCTGAAAGAACTCTTCTGAGAAGCCTGCTCTTCACTTCGATACTGATGAACTGGAAGAAACGAATTTTCATTCCATCTTCAAACCAGCAATCCAAGCAGACTGTGTAAATATAGGAAGAAACCGCCATCCGCTCTGGGACATGCTTCTTTCATCATTTAAGAACGCATGTAAATTAAGTATAGAAAAGCATAGATGCCAACGAACAAAGTTCACAAAAGGTCAAATGCAGTAATCATGTCCTTGCCTTCCGCGGATAAGTGCTGTAGCGAACAAATAACCTCTCCCATGACAAGATTCTACACAGATATCACAGCTAAGTCATACTATTCAGCAATACACGATCTCTGAACTGTAAAATCAGCATGATCAAACGACTGTAGAGCGATACAGCATATAACGTGAAAGTGTAGAGCACATTTTAGAACTGATGCAAGAAGTCGGAAACGGAATGAGACAAGTTTACG